ATATTTTTTTTTTTGTCAGTCCCTGGAGGTAAAGATGACACATGTTTAGACACAGTCAGTTAGTTTACCTTTGATTACTAGAATAAGAATTATGTAAATACAGATGCTTTGCTAAATGCTTAATCTGCAATTGTAAAAACATGAAAAGTAATATTTTTGTTAAGCTGTATATTCAGCTCTCCAGCACTATTTATTTATTATGATTTGTGTTTTAAGAATTTGTATTCTTGGTTACTAATACAACTATTTATTTATTTTTTAGGGCTACATACTTTTATTGCAGTTGCATAAAACTTTTGGCTTTATTTTCAGGAATCCATCGCCATCTCCGCCACCCACACCCCCCCCAACGCCGCCACCAACACCTCCACCGACACCACCTCCAACGCCGCCACCAACGCCTCCACCCTCCCCTCCCCCCGTACCTCCATAATGTTGGAAGTGACTTGTAATGACCGGCTGGGTAAAAAAGTGCGTGTCAAGTGCAACCCAGATGACACAATTGGTGACTTGAAGAAGTTAATTGCTGCACAAACGGGGACACGCTGGGACAAGATTGTACTCAAGAAGTGGTACACGATTTTCAAGGACCACATCACAATAGCCGACTACGAGATTCATGATGGCATGAACCTTGAACTGTATTATCAGTAAAACATGTAATAGATGCCTTCATATATATTTTTTCTTTTCCTTTTTTTTTTCCCTTTTTTGTATAATATATAAAGATTATGCAAGTTATGCATAACTTGGTTGTTGATTCTATTGCATCATTCATACCCAATGGTTGAGCTCCATGTTTCCTGTATTTGAATGATATGTGTGTCCCAGGTCCTGTATTATACTTCTCATCTCTTTCATGTCCCTCTAAGTAAGCTCTGGTTTTTATCACAAAGGAAGTTATATTTTTTTTGTCCAAGAGAAGACAGGAGGATTACTATGATCATCATTAGTTATCTCAGGTGGCAATCTGCAGAGACTTCACTTACCTGCACTGGAATGTTTGAGTCCTTGAGTCTTATTTTCACCTGATTGGATCTGTATTGTCGAGTTTGTAATAAATATTGGAAATGTAACACAAGTCTTTGAGTGCCTCATTTGCACTGTCAGTCAGTCAATCTCTCTCTCTCTCTCTCTCTCTCTCTCTCTCTCTCTCTCTCTCTCTCTCTCTCTCTCTCTCTCTCTTTTTTCCCCCCCTCTCCATCTCCATCTCCATTTCCATCATCTCCATCTCCATCATCTCCATCTCCCACTCCCACTCCCACGCCCACGCCCACGCCCACGCCCTCTCCCTCTCCCTCTCCCTCTCCCTCTCCCTCTCCCTTTCCCTCTCCCTTCCCTTCCCCTCTTTTCATCTCCCCCTTTTTCCCTCATTCCCTTTTTACTCTTTCCCTTTTTCCCTCTTTGCTCCCTCTATGCCAGCCATGGCTTTAACTGTCATCCAGAAAAATTTTATGTATCATTTCTAGGAGAAAAGTCTTGTTTTCCAATGAGATATGGATACACATTCAATCATATCTTTTTATAAATGCATTGTTATCCGTAATTGTATGCTTTTCATACAATATTTTGAATGCTAGAATCTTGATATATTTCAACATTATATTGCACAGTACATATTTGACTTTTTTTTTTATTAGCAGCAAGTGAAATGGGACATTAAAAATATTTAGAAAGGTATCTGAAAAACATTTGTATGCATATACTTCTAGACTAGCAAATATTCTTTTTCCAGCAATGAACATAATTTTTTTGTTTTGAAGTTCATAAGAAATTCAGTATATCTATATTTTTATGCATAACATTAATTGGCCAGTCCTATGAAGAATGGTTCATATGAAATGCTTCAATAGACTTTCGATATTGTTTTGTCATCTATGTATATGATTTATATGATATTTTTTTTGTGGTAAAGGGAATGATAATAGTCAGAGATCGACCTTTTTTCTCATACAAAATATATTTTTTTACTATCATTGGTTTCTGAGCAGATATGACTAATATGCATTCTAGGTTAAAAGGGAAAGTGTTTTACCAATATTATATGTGATGATGATGTTTTATCTTCCTTACAATAAGTACGACTTAATTTTTCCAAAGGAAAATGCAGTATTTACTACCAATTTTTCTAAATTTATGTCTCGGCCTTTGCAGGTACTTGCACATTCATTCATTCAGGCACATACTGAATGGCTGGTAAAGGGCTGGATTGGTGGGGGAAATGTAAATCTGACAATCTCTTCTCTTTGTGTGCCCCACCTTATCCCTTGCGCATTGTTATTATGTAGGGAATTCCCCCTACATTGGACCTCAGCCCTTGTCTCCGCCAATTTTGCTTGATCTTTTCTCCCCCGTTCCTTTCCTTCTCTTCTTCATCATTCCCTGCTCCAGTCCACTTCCTAAGGTGTGATAGCTGTGCTGAAAGGTTGGAATGCTGGCTTTGTGTCACTCATGAATGGCCTCCAGGAGCCATGGTTAATTGTCTAGCCCTTACCCCTTATGGGGACCCAGAGAGATAAAGTGTTTCCTCTCCCCAATTATTTCAGGCTCATCATGGGGCAATAATGAAGATGTTTTACTCTTATTAAGGGCATTAAGGCTTGCCCTTTCATCCCTAGCCTATCTAAATTTGATTTCATTGGTTTCCCAACCCCTGCTTTTGACCATGACTCCAACTGATACTAATACCTCCTCGATGTTTGCAGTCAACTCTATCCATTCCGAATTATCCACCCAGGTCACTCATCCTTCAGAAAACACCCTTCCTCTCCCCCATCATCCTCCACTCCATCTTTTGCACAGTCTTCTTTATTGTCTACCCCCACCCCCCTTATTACAACACTTCATCCTTACTGTCTTCGTTATTGTTCTCTTCCCAACAAAGTTACCTCTCTTGATACCACCCCATCTTCCTCCTGCCCTCATCCTTCTACTGCTTCCACCTTTACAAACCTTTTGAGTACCCTTTTTGGCTCAGCCAAATGGGATCAGTTCTTTGTGATTCCCCCTACAGACCTGTACTCTGACAATACCCTTCTCTTCCAACAATGTCTTCAAAAACAGGCAGGCAAAGTTTCCTTTTGCAGTCATTCTCATCATTCATTCCTTGTCAGTCCCAAGGTTGTGCACTATCAACCTGACTGACCTCGCTGGCAAACCTATTACTGCCCAATCTCACTACCCCCTCAATACTTCTACTGAAACTGTTTCTGTCTCCCTTGTCTATGACAAGGACTGAAAATGACTTGCATGCGTACCTCTTCAACTTTGATGCAATGGCAGTCCAGTGCTATGCTATTCCTCCCAGAGTATGTCCTATACACATCAGTATTGCCAAAATTAGCTTCTATATACATGACCTCCCTCATGAAGTTTATATTGGCAGAATGTCCTACCCTGTCTGACCATATTGACCTCTACCCCGTCAGTCTTAGAAATGCTGGCATTTTGTCCACCCAGCCAAACACTTGCTCCACAGCCCGCTGTCTTCTATGTGCCCAGCCTGGTCATGACTGTTCAAATTGCTCTGCTCGGTCATGCACATGTGCCAATTGTGGTGGTTCCCATAATGTATTTTATAGGAGCTGCTGTACGTACAAGCTTAAATCTGAGGTAGCAGTTATGAAATTTAAACTTCTTGTGTTGTCCCTCATCTGCTTTTTGTCAGGCCTCACTCTACGTGAGGCCTGACAAGAATCATGCTAATAATGTTTTTCTTTCTACCTATTATATTTCACTCTGCTCCCCTTCCATCTTCTCAGCACCTCCCCAAGTATCACTTCCCTCTACCCCAAACCAACCAATTTCTACTACCTCTCTCCCCAGTCAAATTCCTGTTCCACTCTAAATCCAGATACTCCAATCTCTACCACTTCCCTGTTGCCTACCCCTCCCCCTCCTCCTCCTCACTCTACCTGACAATCTTAATGTTCCACTCCATCTTCCCCAACCACATCCTTTCTTCACCCACCTCTCCCTCTGCTCCTCGGACATCTATTCCCTCTTTTCCACATAAGAAAACCTTTGTTTCTCAGACCTCCCCACCAAACACCCCTCCAGAAACTCTTGAAGACATACAAAAGTTCATAAACATGGCTTAAGAGAATGATCCACTCCGTCATCTACCCTCTAGTCACTTTATTCACTCTACCTTCAAAGTATCTGCTGATATCCATCCTCCTCATCCTCAAGTTCCCCCAACCCCTCTTCTTCCCACTCACCAAAAAACACCCCATCCTCTCCTCCTCCATGGCATCACCATTCCCTCTTCCTTCCCCATTATCCTTTTCACCCATGCGTAGATGCTCACCTGACCCCCTTAACCTCTTGCCGATGTGCATGGCATGTACGTACATGCCATGCCCACTGTGAGTCAACTTGTTTGATTATTTTTACACACTGATGGCTACACTTGTACTAAGTCACCAGTGAGCCAATTACAAGTACTGCCTGTCTCGCCCATTCACCCTTTTCATTGATTTACGAAAATATTTCATGTTATCTTATTTTGCTGTTAAAAATAACACCATCTATATTATAGCACTAGTAAGAATGTTTTTTCCTGCCAATTCAAGGAAAGGTGAAATCAGGACTAGCAGAGCCATCTGTGTACAGAGACATTTTGCAAAAAAATATAAAAAATGAGTACAGCATTTTCCCCCATTTTTTATTCATTTTCCCCGGCGGCAATAGGTTAAGTCACAATAATGTCCTTCTGTGGATCCCTCCCCTCCTGACATTCTTCCCTATACTTCGCCACCCTCCCCTGTTCCCTTATTTCATTCTCAGGATTCTTCATCTACTTCCACAATGTTTTTTCCCGTATTACCATTTGATTGTTTCATAATAGATCTTTTGCAGTTTTCCCATACATTGTTACTCTCCCTTCCTCAGACACACACTATCCATTTGATCTGATTGCCCTATCCCTTTAACCACATCCTTTTACAAATCCCCACTGTATTCCATTTGCTCCCCCTCTATACCCCTTATACTAATATTCTATCCTACAGCATTCTGCAACCTTTGACATCTAACATATATTCTCCTGATCATTAACTCATTTCCACCCTTTTTGCCACAATATTTTACCATAGTGCTATATGACCTTTGATGTCTAGCACATTGATTTCTTCTAACCATTAGCCATTAACCATTCTCATTGTGTGTGACTGCATTAATGCAGGTCATGATTGGTTCTTTAACAATATCTGTATCTGTCCAGGTAATGTACTAGTTATACATTACCTAAACAATAAGAGTCTTTACATACATGTAACAAGGAGGAGAAACATTCATCACTCACATAAGCAGTTCTTGACCACTCACATGCCCTGTGTTCCCAATCCAGTCATAATTGATCAAACTGCTCTGCACAATCATGCATATGTGCCAATTCTGGTGACTCCCTCAATGTATTTTATAGGGGCTGCCCTACCTAAAAGTTTGAGCTGGGGTCACAAATCTCAGATTCAGACTTGGCCATTGGCCAGACAGGAATCACAAGGTTTTTCTCTTCATACTACAATACTGTCCTTTGCTCTGCCTCTCCTCCTCCCTCCCAGGGTGTTTCTACATCTCCTGTATCTCATCCTCATCCCACTTCTACTCCCTCCCTCTCCCAGTCAAATTCTTTTGCCATTCTAAATGCAGAC